TAATTTCCAGTAAATCCACCCATGAAAACAGCTCGTTTGGGTCTCACACTAAATAACAATTTCATAATTTAACTCATGTCAGCAGTAACAAACTATTTACTGTTTCTATGCCAATGAAACAAACTGACAAGAATTAGAAACTGGGAACCCAAGCTCGGAACCTGTGTATCAATTCTTACGCAGCGATCTTTTTATTAGTATTTCTCATATATCAAACAGACCACACAGATGTTCAAAAAAGGCTGTGGTTTAAGCATACCTGCCTGCTGTTATTTTAAGCTACCAAAACCAATGTCAGCAGTTCAGCCAGCAAATCTGATGATATACTCCATGTACCAATTGGACTGTCAGAAAAGGAAAACAAGTCTTTTATTTCCATGGTCATTCTCACGTGCTGATGTTACGCACATTTTATTTCAAGACTCAAGCCCATCCCAGCTCCATTTTTTACTACTGCCTCACATCTCCCTTTAGAGAGGATGATACATTCTGTAAAACCATCTATAAACCAGGAAATCAGCACAGCCATTTCTCCTGCCTCATTTCTTTTGATAAATTTTGTAATTCACTTGGTAACTATTCTGCCATTGATTTGGTTGGTCAGAAAAAGACGGTATTTGTACTACTGTTTTAATTGAGGGAAGAATTAACCAAAATGCAAAACAGAAGCCAGGGATTTCCATATTAAATACAGAAAGACAGTCAATACTAGGTTTTTATGTCAGTTTGCTGGTCTGTTTACTGTAGTGGATAACATTTCAACTCTAACTCAGACTTGCCTCTCCCCCAGATATATTTTGTTTTCCCAAATACCATGTGCAAGAATCTGGGGCATACTCTTCCAAATATTTTCTAAGTACACAAACCATAGTAACTCAGAGAACATTAGGGAAAAAAACCCCAAATACAGACAGCTATACTGTTTTACATGCATCCCAGAAAATCAGCATAACAATAACAAGCAGGACGGATTTCTACCTAATTAGGACAGTAATTTTTCTTAAACAGGATGCCTGCATGTCATTAAATGATACTCATGCAGAGCTGTCGGACCTGGTGACTATTGAAAATTAGTATTCGTTTTACTTCCCTTTGATGGCCTTTCCTAACACTGGTTCAACAAAACAGGTTCAATGATCCTTTCAGAATGCTATGTAAGTTATATCAACAATTTAAGTGAATAAATCTATGATGCAAATTTCTCTGTGAATTCTGCACCTGGAACCGGGCCCTAGGAAGTCAGCATCACCACGCGTAATTCAGCATTATAAAGTAAAAACACCTCGTTATCCTTTAACACCAACGCTAAAGTACCCCAGCAGCACACCGGTACCGCAGCAGTATGCTGCATCTGATGACATCAGACTGTTACGTGCTGCAACCACCATAGCATCATCCATACTGACCTTACTCATCTCTGATGCCAGCACCACTGCCTGCCACGGGTGCCCCTCCTGCCCCTTCCTGTTCCCAAAGGGTGGGCAGTGGCTCTATCCCATTAGCAGAACAAGGGAGGCACCGCTGATAGTTTAAGGAAGCTTTCCTTTTTCTAGTCCATCAGCAACACTTCATGCTATAAAGGCACCTTTTCCAGCAGTAGTATCGGTAACCACCAGGGGTGCCGAAACAAAACACATCAGGGGAGAGTTAACAAAAACTATTTACAATGTTTGAATTCTATTTGGGACTAGCAGACTTTTGATGAAAGAGAAAAGTAAGTACAGATTTCGAAGCTGTCTGTTTATGATCAACTTAAGGTACCGGCAAAAGTGATGTTTTTCTCTTGTTCAGAAAATGGACAGAAATGCCAACAGCAACTTCTGCTTTGCAGGGCAATCGCTCTCAGTGCTTAGAACGCAGCTCATGTTACCCCCATATCCAAGCTTGCTCAGTTATGGTTAAAGCTCAGATGTCATCAAACTACTCAGTACTACCCCAATTTCTCTGATATGCAGGATGAATTGTAATGAAGTGTTTTTACATCTTAAAAAGCCCTCTTTTTCCTTAAAAAAATTTTATTTCCACATTTTCATAAAACATCTTTTGTTGACATTCTGCAAACAATACTATCCAATAAGGTGCCGATTTTTTCTTCCTGCGGAGTAACTTTGTACATCTGCATAAAAAAAGAACATGGGAAACATAAAAGCTGTATACGGGGAAAAAAAAATCATCACATATCTTCTAAAAATATATACACAACAAGAAAAAATTTCCCCCTCTCCCTCACTTTTTACATTAGAAATTCATATTTTGTCTTGCCTGGAAGACAAAATTCGCAACCAGGAACCAAGCAAATTCTGAAACTGCAAGAGACAAAGGAAAGCTAAGAAACTGAATGAGAACAGCACTTTTAGCTCCACACGTTATCTGCTGCCATTTGTCCAATTTTATTCGTATGTCTCCTATCGTTACTTTGGTGGATATAATAGAGATGATTTAAGCTACTTGAATTTTATCAAGTGGAACACATATGCTTCAAGATACCTATCTAGCATATGGTAATCTGTTAAAAGCATGCATGCCCTAACAGCTCCCAGCAGCTAATCAACACATTTTTATTTTAGCCGCCCATGCTGGGACTATTTATGTGCTTAAGATTATGAAACTGTTCAGAACTGAAAATTTATTTTTAATTAAATGGATATTTGCCTGAGAAAACAGGAAGCAGAAGTGACTGGGTGGTAGGCAGCAACCTGGAATTTATTTTTATGTTCCGACTTCCTGACAATGTTAAGAATTTGAGGACTTAAAATTTGTGATGTCAGGGCGTGACAACTAGAACTTTTTTTTCAGAGTAAAAAGATTGTAAGAAAGAAATAATCAAGCTTCACTTACAAAAAGTTTCCAGTTATGCTAAAGAAACACAAACCTTAAGTTAATTATGCCCATTGATGTTTAATCAGACAACTAAATCAACTACCCCTTTTCTCTATGCCAGTCATCTCTTTCAGTTACATACCTTTTTGACTTTGGCAGTGTCTGTGAGTTGGGCGAGTTCATCTAGAGGAACCTGTTGGCCTTCTACTTGAGATGCTATATCTTCCAGATTTACAGTTTCTCCTCTGTCCGTAATCACAACAATGAGTACTGCTGTGTCACTGTCTGAAATGCCGAACTTTTTAAACGCATCTGAAATCTAAGAAAAGACGAAAAATATCAAAATATTATGTGTCACTTTCTCACTACATACAAGCAAGCTTTGCAGTTACTGGGTCAAATAAACTGAGAGTATAAACTGATACATGTTTTACATTAATGGAATTCTGATGAGCTACAAGAGATAACAGCACATTAGTGTTATTAAAAATAACAGTAACTTCTATTAGTAGCCAGGTAAACAGTTAAGTGAATACCTATATTTGGCTGCATGGATCTTAGCAAGCTTCTCTGGCAAAAGAAGACATTTGTTCAGTAAATCTTACATTGTTGTTTGGTGAAAGGCTGAAAATAATTTCTGAATAGAGAGTTCTGGTCTTCATTTTACCTATCTTGTGTAGATGAACTGCTTTGTTTGCCGCCACAAGAATTTGAAAAGGATCTACAATCTGTAAAGTACAACAAAAGGAGTTAAAAAAAAATTAACATACTATTTTGAACCCTGAAAAAAAAAAATGACTACTTACCTTTGCTTAAGTCTGCAACCATAAGAGCAAGCAAAACAGTATTCACAGAATCACACAATTTTCAGAGTTGGAAGGGACCTCTAGAGATCATCTAGTCCAACTCCCCTGCTAAAGCAGGATTGCCTAGAGCACATTACTCAGGACTGCATCCAGGCGGGTTTTGAAAGTCTCCAGAGAAGGAGACTCCACAACCTCCCTGGGCAGCCTGTGCCAGTGCTCTGTCACCCTAACCGTAAAGAAGTTTTTCCGTGTCTGCAAGTTATTTTAGCCATTCTTGCTCTTCCAAAGTTAATGTGATTATTTACTGTGTGGGATAATACTTGACATAAAAATAAAGATTACCCTATATGTCAGGTTACTGAAATCTTTTGAAAAAAGAATCACATTAATAAACCTTCTGTCAGTAAACTGCTGTATTAGACTACTTTTTTGTCCCTTCCCTAACTACCGCTTTGCTAATTCTATCGGAAAAAAAAAAAAAAAAGACTAGATTCAGAAACTAGTTATGGATTTCACTGACAACTAAGGCTCCAAACAGAGGTGATTTTTGACAGAGCATTAAACAACTGGTACTATATTTTAGGTATGGAAGTAGATTTAAACAGCTCTGCCAAGTAGGGTGTGAAATGAATCAAAATGACAACTGTTTTGGCCAATCCTGCCAAGGCTCTTTTACACAGACGAGCCCTTACACTTGCAGGACACTGTACTGAAATCAAAGGAGGGGCATTTGTGCAGAGAAAGCGAAGTGCGCGTGTATGGCAACTCGTGCGGCAGGTTTTACAAAGGATGGCGGTTCCTCAGGCCGTTCCCTGTGAGGGCAGGATGCCCACACGGCCTTCGGAGCCCTGAACGCCGCACGAACAGCACAGCACCAGCGCTCGCTCACCATGGCGGGGTTTATTAACGCTCCTTCAATGGATCCTTCCATGGCCTTCTTTCTCAGGGCGGCGGCGTTTTTCACCCGGTTGAAGAGGAGGAGGGTGACGCCGCAGCCGGGGAACAGCTCCAGCTGGTGCCGGACATCCATCCCGCGCCGCGGGCCCCGCCGCCGCCACGGCCACGCTTACC